TTCTTCCATTTATATACTACGTGGAACTAATTTGTATTTTATTTTCAAAATATCTGTTTTTAAAATATTTTATTTAGGAAGGAATAAAAAAAGAAAAAATATATTTTTTTATAATATTCTTTTTTTCGTGTTTGTATAATTTGATTGGATATATTTTTAAAAGCTTTATTTATATTCACATTAATTTCATATGAAATTTTTTTTTAATATTATAAAAATCTAAATTATATAAGACAAAAATTATAATCAGTATTTAATTTTTAAAAATAATAATGAGTACAAATAATAAGTAAAGTGAGTAATGATATAAAAAATTGAATGAGTATAAATTACGAATATAATTAACGTGTAACACACGTCATAAAAAGACTAATATATATATAAGTGACAATGGGAAGGGAACATTAGGATTGTCAAAAACGTTCTTACTATATTTATAGATGGGCAAAACTATTATTAAAAATTTTAATTTTATTGGTTAAAAAATAAAGATAATTTAATTTTAATTTGGTGATGTCAATTTCCTATCTAAATCCAAATTTTATTGGATAAACTAAAAAATTATAGTATATAATAAATAAGGTATATATTAAATATGGTAAGAATATAATATCTTTAAGGATTTTAATTTTATTGGTTGAAAAAATAAAAGTAATCTAATTTTAATTGGTTATATTATAATATATAGGGTACATATTAAATATGGTAAAAATATAATATATTTAATTACTATTTTGAACAAAAATTTTAATTTGTTTGATTTTAATTATTTCCTACAATTAAGTAACTTATTCTAAAAGGAATAAATGTCATTTATTATTATTTATTAAGAGATATATTATAAGATTTATTATGTAATATCTAATAAAAAATAAAATCCACTGCGAATATATATAAAATATAAAATTATAATATAAGACGTTATATTAGCAAATCATTTAACATATTGAATGAAAATTTTTTGCTCAAAAAAGCAACTATAAAATTATTTATATGCTCATAGACGTTATAAAAAAGTTAAAAAAAAAAATCAAAATTATAATATGATGTTATAAAATAATAATTAATATATAATATGTGTTATTAAAATAATTAATAATATATTAATTATTAATTCATTTAAAAAACTTTATTTTATTTATATAAAATATATGTTTTTCGATTAAACAATCTATTTAAATATTTAATTATTATTTTATTAGTGTTCATAAAAATTTATTATTTATTATTTCATAAAATATTTGTTTTCTATTTTGTAAATGCTTTTAAATTATTTCGGGACACCAAAATTTTATTTAAATTAATTTAATTATTTAATTGCTAATTAAATTATTATTAGTTAAATTAAATAACTTATTTTGATAATCAATCAAAATATTTAAATGGTTATTAAAATCAAATTATTGGATAAATATTATTTACTGCATAAATAAATAATGTAGTAAATTTCAATAAAAATTTGGTAAGTAGACCTATTAAATTAAATACTTAACGAATAAGTCAAGCGTCTGCATAAGATAATTGACACTGCACCAGCCGATAAGAGTTCGCCAAGTAGGCTAATCAAATTACATACTTTGCAAGGGGACTTCCTAAAATCTCTATAAATAGCCTCTCTTCACATATAGGACACACACATAGACAAAAAACAAATCTCAAAGCTCTATCAAACTCAAGACTACAAAAGGTCTCTCCTAAGTCTAAAGAATCAAAGTTTTTTCAACTTCAATTCAAAAACAAGTCTATTCACCCTTGAATTGTGCACAAAGTTCGTTTTACATCAATTCTTTTTTATCGTTGAATCGTATTCAAGATTAAGTCGTTTTGATACTTGAATAGTGTTCGCAACAATAAAGAGAAGAATTAGAGGATAATTTTTTTTGTAACAGGAGATTCCACACGTAAAGATTGTATCCACTTGTTTATTATAAATAAAATCTGTATTTTTGTTTCTTAATTTTCAAGAACAAATTTTACGCATACATTACTGTTCATAATATTTTAATTTACAACAAAAATAATATAAAGTATAATTATAATATATATAATATATATATAATATATATATATATAATTATATAATTATATATTTACTTGCAACTAGTGAAAATCAATGAATACAAACAATGAGTAATACAAGCTTTGAAAAAATTAGTGTAAATAAAAGTGAAAATGGAAAGTGAGAATATTGGAATTGTAAAAAATATCCTACTAAATTCAGTGACAAAAATTTCTTTAAATATATTTTAAATATAATAATTTTATTAGTTGAATAAAGATAATTTAATTTGATTGGTTATATTAGTTTTTATTTAAATTTAAATGACTTAATATATCAAAATATCCAGAACTTTATTGGTTTTGCAATTTCACTTTATTTTGGCTTTTTTTTTTTTATCGATTTTAAGTCTATTTCAATCCTTTACAATAGATACATCCTTAATTGCAATTAGGGATGAAATCGCAAATAAAAATGTATTTCCATCATTTTTTTTTATATGAAAAGGCTAAATATATTAATAAGTCAAATCATTTACTACAACTTCCTCTAAGAACGGAGGAGTATCATTCCAGATGTTTAAGCAAGCATAATTACATGCCTCCATAGCCAGCAAATAGGCAGACACGTTTGCTGATCTCCTGACCCAAGAAACTTTAACATTTTCATTTAGACTCATAAAAATCTTAGCATCTAAGAGAATCCATTCCCCATCCCAATATTATCCACATTATTGTTATCAGCACTTGCCACTTGAATACTATGAACTTCCAAATACATAGGCCCCCGTTCCTTGTAAAGCCATCCATCTAAGGGTAGCCATATAATGGTTTTGGGAACCGGAACCGTCAGTTTTGGGAACAGGAACCATCGGTTCGAACCGGTCCCGAACCGTAACCGGAATCAGTGGGAATCGAAATCGATCCGAACTGGAGATTTTCGGTTCGGTTTCGGTTCTAGATTTGTGGAACCGCAAACCGGCGGTTCCATAAAACCGGTCGGAACTGGATTGGAACCTCTGGTTAGAACCGGTTCGAACCGGCGGTTTTAGCCGTTAGAAACTGTCGATTTTTTTTTTTTTTTGATTTTGTTGTGATTAGAAAATCAACGATGCAGTAGGTTTCCCCTTCAAACCCACCACCGACAAACGATGAGGGTAAAGTCTCTTTTTCTTCTTTATTTTTTTATTTTTATCAATTGTATCAAGTGCTAATGGTTTGGATCATCTTTTTATTTTCTTGTTAATTCCTTTTTCCCTAATGGGTTGGTTGGGTTTGCATTTCTTTGTTGTTGTTCAAGTCTTTAAAAAAATAAATTTAATTGAAGCATTTTTTTATTTTTTAGGTGTTTTTTTTTTAGAAATAACTTTCACAAATTTATTAAATTTTGAAAACCGGTCTTCAAAATTTAAAATTTAAAATTATGCAATTTGTCGGAAAATCAGTCGGAAAATCGATCGGAACCGTCGGTTTTGAAAACGTACCGGAACCGGAACCGTTCGGTTCCAAATCGGAACTGGAACCAAAAATTTTCGGTTCGGTTCCGGTTCCAATAACCGTCGGTTCCGGAACTAGAACCGCTGGTTCCGGAACCGTGGCCACCCCTACATCCATCTAACTGTATTACGCAAAGCAATGGACTCAGCTACAACTGAAGTTACGTTCCTAAGGAAGTGTCCATAAATCGCAGTGAGAAATACCCATTATGTTCCCTGAAAACAGCTGCAAAGGAGTACCTGTTTTGCTGCAAAAACAGAGCAGCATCATATTACCCCTGGTTACCCCAACTGGAGGGCGAGACCAAACACAAACCTCTTGTTGCGTCATAGGCCCTTGCTACATAGTTGCCATCAATTTCGATGCCATTGCCTTCCACTCCTTGAGGTAGCATCGTGCAAAAGTGAAATAACATAAGGTGAACGCTGCTTCTGTTGCACACAAAATTATTCCTTGCGCTCTAGATATTCCATGCAAGGAGACAAAAACTTTCCAATGCAACATTATCCAAATAAAGTAGGGACTCAAAAACATCGTAGAAAGAATCAGCATTCAATGGCACTGGTATATTACTATTTAGGACCTAATAAGATTTGCATATGGACAATAAAACAATGCATGGCACAAGGATTCAATTCCTTCACACAAGCTACAAGTCGGAAGCATATTTACCCCTTTATCCACCAATCGGGAATTAAATGGGTCAATATTCCTGAGAGTATGCCAAATGAAGATTACTACCTTAACAGGGAACTTCAAACCCTATAACCGTTTCCACATAGGTCCCCTCTGTGAACCCATTGATAACACAGTGATATCCAGACTTCACTGTGTACCGACCATGACTGGTCCAATGCCAAACCACTTTGTCCTCTGTCAAATTATGAAAAACAGGTAATGAAAGAACTTTAAGAATATCATGGGGAAGAAATAGACCTCGTATTAACATTTCATTCCAATGCCAAGTAACATCTTTGAGATCTAACATTGTTAACTCTTCAAAACTCGGAACCATTAGGGAAGTAATCATAAAGGATGTATCATCAGCCAACCATGGACATTTCCAAATATTAATCAAGGAGTCAAAACCTGCTTGCCATCGATTTCCATACTTTAGAACCTCAATAGGTTTCAAGTACCCTTCCAAATGAAACTGGGATTTGAGCCTTCAATAGCATCGAAGAACCCATCAGCTGTGGAAAGAAGAAGTAAAATTACGCTCATAGCATAAGTAGGTAGTGCTTATGCAATGGCTTTAGAAAGAACCATTTTACCCGCCCCCCCCCCCCCCCCCCCCCCCCCCCCAGACAATAATTTTTGCCGCCCACCGCAAATACGAGAGCGCATACAATCCCCGATGAAGAAGAACACAACTCTCTTATCTCTACCAACCAACGACAGTAACCCCAAGTATCGGCCATGATACAGCGGATGCACAATATCCAAAATATGAGAAATTCAAGCATATCTTGTTAGATCAAGAAACAAGTCGACAACCAGAACAATTGGATTTAAAAGTGATATTTTATTTGAGCAACTGCTGGGCTTTATATAGCCATTACTTCAAAACAGAAAACAACTAAAGATTTGCAAAATAATCTAAATATAGCAGTAGCGAAAATATTCTAAATAGTAGAAAATAACTCCAGTAGAATTGGACACTTATTGACTAATTCAAAACTACCAGACTAATTTAAACTACCAACAAACCCTCCTTTGAACTTATTCCTCTTGTAAAAGAATTAGTTCAAATCTGAGTCTGTGCAAACACCAAGTTCTTGACGTAGCTTCTATAATGCTTCTAACTTGAGTGGTTTGGTCATCAAATCTATAAGTTGGTCTTTGGTGCCACAAAACTGTAACTCACCAACACCTTCTTTAACTAAATCTCTGAGAAAGTGGAACCTTACTCTTATGTGTTTGGAACGCCCATGTAAAATAGGATTTCTAGACAACTTGATTGTTGAAGCATTATCACACATCAAAACAGTCTCTGCTTCCTGTGAATGGCCAATTTCTTTCAGTATTCTTCTCATCCAAATGGCTTGACAAGCATAGGCAGCTGCAGCTATAAACTCAGCTTTTGTGGTTGACAAGGTAACAATGGGTTGCTTACGAGAAGACCATGCCACAGCTCCTCCACTTAGCAGAAACGCATAACTGGAAGTGCTTTTGCTATCATCCATGTCACCAGCATAGTCACTGTCTGTAAATCCGACCAGCCTGCTTTCTCCACCTCTTCTGTAAAAAATACCATAATTAACAGTCCCCTTTAAATACCTTAGCACCCTTTTGATTGCAGCAAAGTGGATCTTTGTAGGACTAGCCATGAAACGACTAATGAAGCTCACAACAAACATGAGGTCAGGTCACGTAGCTATGATGAAGCTCACAACAAACATGAGGTCAGGTCACGTAGCTATGAGATGCATTAGACTTCCCACCATTTGTTTAAACTGAGTTGCATCAACTACCTCGCCTCCCACATCTCTTCTAATCTTTTGGCCAGGAACAATCGGATTACATACTGGATTATGATTCTCCATACCAAAACGTTGTAGGACTTCGCTGGCATATTTCTTTTGACAAATAAAAATACCAACATCCTTTTGGACTATCTCAATGCCAAGAAAGAACTTCATTGGCCCCAAGTCTGTCATCTCAAATTCATTTTCCATGGAATGTTTAAAATCTGCAAGCAATTTATCATCATCACCAGTATATAACAAATGATCTCCATATATACTCACAACTAAGATTTTTCCTCCCTTCTTTTTGACAAACAAGGTTTATTCATTGGAGCAACTTGTGAAACCTTCTTTGATAAAATAAGACTCAATCCGACTGAACCAGGCCCTGGGTGCCTGTTTTAATCCGCAGAGGGCTTTTGGCAACTTGTACACCATTTGTTCACTTCCTGCCTTTTTATAATCTTTCGGTTGCTCCACATACACATCTTCCTCCAGTTCTCCATGCAAGAAGGCTGACTTGACATCCAATTGATATAATTTCCAGCCTCTTTAAGCAGCAAAGGCAATGATCATACAAACAGTATCCATTCGAGCCACGGGTGCGAAAACCTGTTTAATCTATTCCATACTGCTGGGTGTACCCTTTTACGACTAGCCTCGCTTTGTATTTGTCAACCTCTCCATGCTCATTCAGTTTTGTTTTATAAATCCACTTTATGCCAACCTTTGTTGCTCCAGTTGGTAGGTCTATCAAGTACCAGGTGTGATTCTTCTCAATGTATTTTATTTCTTCATCCAAAGCCATCCTCCATTTTTCACTCTTTACTGCTTCCTCATAATCAGTGGGATTAGAGATTACAAGATAGGCCATCATATTTGTTTCATCTTCATCGGGCAGGCCTTCACCTGAAACAAAATCTGTTAGATGTATTGGGGGACGTCGAGTTCTACCCTCCCTTGGTACCAAATTTCTTCCGAGATCAGAAGTTCGCTCTGTTGGTGTAGGACTGCCAGATGTTTCAGCTGGTGAGACAACATCAGTATCGTTTCCAGCCTCGCTTTGCCCGGCTGTGTGTTCTTTTTCACTTTCAGTACTAATGTCGCCCCCACTCTAATTCAAGTATTTGTTTCTCTTGATAATCTGAATTCCAATGCCAAGCTCGATCTTCTTCAAACACCACATCACGGCTATGAATTATTTTTTTGGCAATTGGATCAAACATCCTGTATCCTTTGGATTCTTGGCTAAACCCAAAAAATACGCAGCTCACACTCTTCACTTCTAGCTTTGTTCTTTTTGCGTCTGGTATGTGTACATGACCAATACAGCCGAAAACCTTGAAATATTCCACTGTAGGTTTTTCTCCACTCCAGGCTTCCTCGGGCGTTTTGTCTTTTACAGCAAGTGTGGGTGATCTATTCAAAATATGAAACGTCCATTGTACCGCCTCTGGCCAAAAAACTTTAGGTATATTCTTTTCAATCAGCGTTGCTCTTACTAGATTCATCACGGTTTGATTTTTGCGTTCAGCTACTTCGTTTTGTTGAGGAGTATAGGCCATGGTTAGTTGCCGTTTTACTCCTTGCTGCTTGCAGAAATTATTGAACTTTGATGAATTGAACTCTCCACCTCTGTATGTTCTCAAACATTTAATTGGCAACCCAATTTCTTTTTCCACCAGCACTTTAAAACATTTAAAGTGGTAAAATGCTTCTGATTTTTCAACAAGGAAATAACACCAGGCTTTTCTTGAGAAATCATCAATAAAACATAACAAGTACCTCTTATGACTGTTTGAAGCTGGAGTGATCGGTCCGCATATATCAGCATGAACAAGACCCAGCTGCTCAGTTGCTCTCCATTTGCCTGTCCATTGTACCGCCTTTGGCCAAAAAACTTTAGGTATATTCTTTTCAATCAGCGTTGCTCTTACTAGATTCATCACGGTTTGATTTTTGCGTTCAGCTACTCCGTTTTGTTGAGGAGTATAGGCCATGGTTAGTTGCCGTTTTACTCCTTGCTGCTTGCAGAAATCATTGAACTTTGCTGAATTGAACTCTCCACCTCTGTCTGTTCTCAAACATTTAATTGGCAACCCAATTTCTTTTTCCACCAGCACTTTAAAACATTTAAAGTGGTAAAATGCTTCTGATTTTTCAACAAGGAAATAACACCAGGCCTTTCTTGAGAAATCATCAATAAAACATAACAAGTACCTCTTATGACTGTTTGAAGCTGGAGTGATCGGTCCGCATATATCAGCATGAACAAGACCCAGCTGCTCAGTTGCTCTCCATTTGCCTTTTTTTGGAATTGGATTTCGGTGCTGTTTACCCTTCACACATGCCTCACAAGTGGACTTTGGTGTTAAGATTTGAGGTAAGCCGATCACCATATTCTTGTCATTCAATGTGTGTAAGCCCTTGTAGCTGAGGTGCCCATATCGGTGGTGCCACAAAATTGATTCATCTGTACTGCCCACTTGAAAACATTCTTCATTAACCACAGTAGTAGGTGATTCTCCAAGCAGAATAAACATGCGATTTGCACTCATCACTGATTCTGCCATCTTTCCTTTTAGTGGATGGTAGAGGCTACACACTCCATCTTTAAACAAAATTGCTACCCCTTTTTCTTGAAGCTGTCCAACACTTAGCAAATTATTTCTCAGTTCCGGTACGCAGTACACATCACTTATAGTATAACACACTCCTTGTAGAAACAGTTTTATCACTCCTTTTCCAGTAACCTTCATCCTTGTGTTGTTTCCAAGCTTGACTGAATGGGTGAAATTAGTGTCTAAGCTTGTAAACATCTCTTGGTTACCGCACATATCATTCGAACAACCCGAGTCTACGAACCAAGCATCTCTTCTATTTGTCTCATGAAGTTCGACATATGCCATCAGTAGTAGCTCATCTTCTTCCTCCAATTCGGCATAATTAGCTTCCTTGTTTGATTTTGGGCATTCATATTGAAAATGCCCTAAATCATGGCACTTGTAACATTCAATGGTAGCATTGTTGAATACAGCTCTTCCTCCACCTCGTCCCCTTCCTCTACAAGAGCCTCTTCCTCTACTGGTCGAGTTTGATCGTCCTTCAATTTTCAGCACCTGGTCGTCGTCTTCTTTGTGCACTCGACGAAACTTTTGTTCATGAACCACCAAGGTACTCTGTAGTAACAGACATGGTTTCAATGTCTTTAGACTCTTCAATGGATACACAGAAATATGTGAACTTCTCTGTGAGGGTACGCAAAGTTTTCTCAACAATTTTGGTATTCGTCATCTCTTCTCTATTACTCCTCATTTTGTTTGCTACCACCATCACTCTTGTGAAATATTCATTGACAGTTTCATCTCTTTTCATTTCAAGAATTTTAGAATCCCTTCTTAATGCGTTAAGAAGAGATTTCTTTACCTTCATATTTCCACCAAACTTCTTCTTCATGGAGTCCCAGACTATTTTTGCTGTGCGACGGTCCAGAATTTGTTCGAAGACTATTCTGTCGATTGCTTGAAACAGATAATGTTTCACTTGATGATCCTTGGTTCTCGCATCATCAAGCTGAGCTTGCTGGGCATCTGTCAATTTTGTTTCCATCTGTGGTTCTTCAAAACCATTCTCTACCAAGTTCCAAAGTCCTTTGGCTCTAAGGAGATTCTCCATCAACTCACTCCAGTGATCATAGTGACCATCAAAGTGAGGAATCTTGGTCAGGGTTTTATCATCACTCATCCTTGCAGTGTTTGATCACTCAACAGTTTATTTTCTATTTCTCAGGGCCAGTGGGGCTCTGATACCAATTGTTAGATCAAGAAACAAGTCGACAACCAGAACAATTGGATTTAAAAGTGATATTTTATTTGAGCAACTGCTGGGCTTTATATAGCCATTATTTCAAAACAAAAAACAACTAAAGATCTGCAAAATAATCTAAATATAGCAGTAGCGAAAATATTCTAAATAGCAGCAAATAACTCCTGTAGAATTGGACACTTGTTGACTAATTCAAAACTACCAGACTAATTTAAACTACCAACATATTTATCCGCACTAACATTTCGACTGAAGAATATCCTAGATTTTTTGCAAATTTGCAGGTTGTCCCGAAGCCGCTTCATAACACTATAAGATCCTCTTGATAACCATAACTTCCTGTTCAGTAGCCTGAAAAAAAAGAAAAAGTTGTCATCAGCAAATAATAAATGAGTAATAGTGGGAGCACCTCGAGCCACCGTACACCCAAGGATGTGACCACTACCCATCGCATGACTAAACAGAACTGACAAACCCTCAGCACATAGAATGAACAGGTAAGGAGAGAGTCGACACCCCTGCCGAAGACGACGATGCAGAATTGTAGGCCCTATAGAAGACCCATTAAAAGCAACATAATATGTGACTAAGTCAATACACATCATGATAAGCTGCACCGACCTTTTTGAAAAACCCATATGCAACATGATTGCTCGCGAATACCTCAAGTCGACACGGCCATATACCATAGAAATTTCTATCATTTTTAAATCATCAAGTAACTTTAATAAAATTTGAAAAAAAATTGAAAAGAAAATCCATCAATCTAATCCACTGATTTTACATAGGTTAAATTTAATTTTTAAAATAAATGTAATAATTTAATAACATGAATTTTTGTTATTTTAAAGAAATCCTTAAACATGGCATACGAATTAAATTAATAAAATATATTTTGAATAAAAAAATCATAATTTTAGAAATTTTTTGAATTGATAATATAATCAAATCAATATTCATTTAGTAAATAAATAAAAAAATGACTTTTCAATTATCTTAATTGCACAAAGTAAATCAATATAATTTAATAGTCACAAGTAGAAATAAATTGTCAGAAGTGGGATTTGAACCCACGCCCTCTTTCGAAGACCAGAACTTGAGTCTGGCGCCTTAGACCACTCGGCCATCCTGACTTATTTTTGAAATTTGCTCTTATATCTAATAGACATTTTGAAATATTGGGAAGCCAGCCTCAAATTAAATTACTTGGATAAGTTTTTCCTGGTATATTTTACTATTAAAAAATAAATTAATTTCGCTTATTAAAAATATAATAATGCTAAGCATTTAAAAAAAAGTCACTTTTGCTTTCTTAGATGGACTTGCTATGAGGCCTTCAAGGAAAATCAAGGAGGTTTTATGTGAGTTTTTTTTTTCTCACCTTTGTACTCATTATCTGCTTGCTTGGTTAACACTTTTCTTTTAATATTTTAATAAAAAAATTTAAAATTTAACAAACAGTATAGACGGTAATTCTCTGCACTGTATCCCAATAAATTTAAAAATAATTAATTGAACAATAATGCCCAACAAAGGGTATTATAATTTAAATTAATTAGTTTAAAAATAATAATTAATAAATTCACCAAAACGATTTCATAGGTACTATATCTGTAAAAACTCATTTAAAAGTATCTTTGAATATAAGTAAATGGATTTAGGACGGATATGGTTATTAAATTAACTACCCATAACAGGTTTAGCTCATGTATATTTATAGCTGCATACACTCGCTCCCCATCGGAACCCATTATATAATTTAAAAATATTTATATAATAAATATTTCAAGTGAAAGTTTAAGTGCATATTAATTTTAGGGGTTAATTATAAATTTAGTGCTTGAACTTCAAAAAATATTCTATTATTTTATTTCAACGGAAAATGTTTGCAATCAAGTATCGGAGCCGATTAATTTTTTTCAATTTAGTGTCGCCGTCCTATGGGGCTGGCTGAAAATATGAATATGACGCATGGGACCTATTTATTATTAAAAATGAAGCCGAGTATGATGCAAATAACATGACACGTTGATGTGTCTAGCAGTGAAGCGTAAACATCAAAGAACAAAATTGCCTCTAACAAAAACCCCACTCAGAACCCAACTCTTCTTTCTTAGCCTCCTCAATCGATCACAACCTCTCAATCAATTCCTCCATGGCAACAGCAATAGCCATCATTGATCAATCCAAAACCCAAATAAAAATATAATAATATTAATACCTATCTATATCCTTCTCCTCCTTCTCCTTCTACAACTAATAAGCAAGCATTTTAAAACCTGCAAAAAATCCCAAATGCCTTTACTTCTCTTACCTCCATAGATAAAACTCTCAAACCTCAAAACCAAAACCCATAAGAATCAAGCTTTTTTTCTCTAATTTCAACCCCAAAAGGGATATGCAGCCTTATAGCAGAGAAATGCAAGGAATAAACTCATTACTAAACTCATCTTCTCTAATCCCTCTTCAAGACCTTCAAAATCTGTAGATCCAAAACCCTCATTTCGATCCTTCTTCTGCTTTTAATGATGATTTTCTCAAACAAATGCTCTCTACTATCCCTTCTTGTTCTTGGGCTAACCTCAAGTCTCATTGGGACCTTAACCCTACAACTAACCTCATGATAAGAATCAAGCTTTTTTTCGTCTAATTTCAACTCCAGAAGGGTATGGCAGCCTTAATAGGCAGAGAAATGCAAGGATAACCTCATTAGTAAACTCATCTTCTCTAATCCGTTCTTAAAGCCGTTCAAAATTGTAAGATCCAAAACTCATCTTCCGATCTTGCTTCTGCTTTAATGATGAGTTTCTCAACATAATGGTCTTAACTATCACTTCTTGTTCTTGGCTAACTCAAGTCTCATTGGGACCTTAAACCCTAGATAACCTCATGCGTAGTTACTAACTTCAAACCACCGCTGCTGTGAAATTTAGAACTTTATCTGATGAAATGGCGGCGATATACAAAAATGGATTTGCTTCCCATAATTAACTTTGATGAGGTTATTTGAGACTTTGGCTTCTAAGCTTTAGATATACACCGAGATAAGCGGGGTGAGGAGGAGGAGGAACATTGTCTTGCAGCAGCGGCTGCGACTAGTGCTACTTTTTGGCTTCTAAGCTTAGATAACACCAGATCAGCGGCGGTGGAGGAGGAGGAACATTGTCTGCAGCAGCGGCTGCGACTACTGCTACTGCTAGAGGAGGAGCAGGTTTGTCATAAAACAATATCATTGATGGCTCATCCTTCAAGTCTCCTACACAGGTAGGTTTCAAGTTTCTCTCTTCATTTTCCACTCTCTTTCTTCTCCTTATTTTATTTGGTTATCTGCAATTGTTTCAATTGTTTTGGTATTGACTTTAGTGTATTTGCAACTTAATTGTTCTCTAGCAACTGTGATTGCAGATGTTGAATCGACTTGGGGCCTTGCACCACTGAAGCAAAGTAGTTTTCTGATTAAGGGAATAAAGGAATGGCTTTTGCTTTACTATTGTTTTTTAGATTTTTGGTGGGGATTTTGTTATTCCTTAGTTTTCTGCTGCCGCTGCCGCTGTTGCTATGGAGGAATTGGTTGAGAGGTGGTGATCCATTGAGGAGGCTAAGAAAGAGAGAGAGTTGGGTTATGAGTAGGGTTTTTATTAAGGCCAATTTTGTCCTTTAATGTTTAGACTGCACTGCTTAACACGTCAAATCCGACGTGTCATTGTCATTTGGCATCCTACTTCGCTTCATTTCTAACAATTAATGGGTCTCATACGTCCTATTCATGTTTTCGACAAGCAACATAGGACAGCGACCAAATTGAAAAAAATTAATCGATTCCGACACTTAATTGCAAACGTTTTTCGATGAAACATTAAAATAGAAAATTTTTGGAAATTCAGGCACTAAATTTATAATTTACCCTTAAGTTTATTTAATGATGGAAGCAGTGATTTTAGCATGAGTCCTTCACATCTCAATCCATTTTTGATATTTTTGAATTTTAAAATTTATTTTAAACTTTTTATGATTTTCACTAATTTTATTTTATACTATGCGGTCCTCTGTTCTTCGTATGACTATGTAATATTTATATTTTTCATTTCAAACGTAAGATATAAATGTTGAGTAAATTATAAAAATTCATTTTTTAGAACAAAAGTGACTGAAATTATTATTAATATAAAGTCTTATAGGCGATTTAAAATTCTTTAAATGCACAATTTCTTTTAGAGATTTATGGAGTTTATAATTTAAAAACATATCAAAACATAATAATTAATTCATCATTGTATAAAACATATTTAAATCCTTTTGAATTGCACACTTAAATCTCTGCTAAAATAAACAAAACAAAACCAAGATAATCAAAATACAAAATGAAAATGAAGATGAAAATAAAAAAATAAAATCAAGCAAACAATTCGAACAAAGCAATAAAATGTCACAATATTCTTCTTCAATAAGTAATAAACTGAAGAAATCAAAATAAAGAACTAAGTTAAACTTTCAACCATAAAAAAAATTTTCAAAAATTTATAAAAAAATAAAATAGTGAACAAAGAGAGAATCTGGAACTTTAATAAATATTTGAACTCTCAACAGAAAAAAAAATATATAAAAAAATTTTAAAATCTAAAACCTCTAATTTAACATTGACTCAATTCTTTAAATTTTAAATCAAAATCAGAAAAATCACATATGTAGCATCTTTCATGATAAATTCAATGTAGTCATACAAACCATAAATTGAATTTAAAAATCTCAAATTATTATCAGCTTGAAAATGTTCAATTTACCATGAGAAGAAAAATTAAACTTTTATCCTTATCAAACAAATCAAAAGAGAAAAAAACAAAGGAATAATACTATTCATCATCTTATCTTCTCGTTTTTAAATTATATGGAACTATTCTTGAACGTTGATCGGTTACTTATCGCAAGAAGGAAAATAAAATTTATACCTAATAATTTACTCAAACACTAAAAATTCTTACCAAACAAACCCAAAGCGAAATTAAGAAGAAGAAGAAGAAGACTATTCACCATCTTATCTTTTGGTTTTCCAAACTATATGAGATTAATCTTGAATTTGCTAAGAGATGGAAACTTTACCATCTCATTGGAAGAAATTCTCATGTGGGTTAGAAAGGGAAAGAATTTAAAAACAATAGAAATATAGGCTTTAAATTGAAATGATGATTATTAAAATCAGGATATTAAACTTGAAATGTCTAAGGAAGGTAGAAAGGTGAGGAATTGTAATTATGAATTTGAATTTTAAAATTCTCTAAAGGCTTCATTCTACATATTTATTGTAAAATGTATGAAATCACATTGAAAATAGGTGAATAATTATGCAACATTGGCTTCATAGAATCAAATTATGATTCCTTAAAGGGAAGTTACATTAAAAAGGACAATTTTCTTAACGATTGGTTAGCGATGCGTAGGGAGGATGAAAACTAACAAGGATCAGCCAACTCAGTTCTGTGGTTGAAGCCTTCAGCAGGTTTCTTAAAAATAAATGTCGACGTTATTGAGCTAACAGCTAGCAAACAGATTTTATCTCTTATCCTTGTAACTATTTGAATTTTTAGTTATCTTGTATAGCTGTAGTTGTTATGTTGTTATAGGGAACTGCTGTATTTATTGGTTTGTGAATTAATAGAAAATCATTCCCACTCATACCGTTTTATGGTATCACGTAAGGGAGGATTGAAACTAACAAGGAGATCGAGCCACTCAGGTTTCTTGTGGTTGGAAGCTTCAGCATGGTTCCTTAAAATAAATGGTCGATCGTTAGTTGAGCTAACAGCTAGCAAACAGATTTGTAATCTACTTATCCTTGTAACTAAGTTTGAATTTTTAGTTATTCTGTATATGACTTGTAGTTGTGTATGTTGTTAATAGGGAAGTTGTTATAGGGAACTGCTGTATTTATTGGTTTGTGAATTAATAGAAAATCATTCCCACTCATACCGTTTTATGGTATCAGAGCCCAAAAACCTACTGGTTTTTTTTTTTTCGGTCCTTTTCTCAATTTATTCGTCTTCTCCAATGGCTTCTACCTCAAACATCTCCAACCTTACACACATGTCTGGTAAGGCTTTGATTTCGATTAATGGTTCTCAGTTTCCTCTGAAACTGACTAGAAAGAATTTTTTGACTTGGAGATCTCAGATTGTTCCTGTCCTACGTGGACATAATCTCCTAGGGTATGTTGATGGATCATACCCCTGTCCTCCACCAGTTTTGAGGAAGGATGATAAAGAAATTCCAAACTCTGACTATGATCATTGGGTCTATCAGGATCAGCTAGTGTTGGCAGCATTGATTGCTTCCATGAGTGTGTCCTCTATGCATATTGTTTCCACTGCTCTAACTTCAGCAGATGCGTGGACGAAGATACAAACTTCAGCAGATGCGTGGACGAAGATACAAACTGCATGTGCAAATTGATCTGCCACACGTCTTCTATCTCTTCGAGAAAAACTTGCTAATATCAAACGAGACTCTAAACCAGTTTTAGAGTGCTTACAGTCTATTAAAGTAATTTCAGAAGATCTAGCCTTGTCTGGAAGTCCAATCTCTGACGTTGATCTTGTAATTCATACGTTAAATGGAATTGGCCCTGAATTTCGTGATATTGCTGCTGCAATTCGCGCACGTGATACTGTTATTTCTTTTGAGGAGCTTCAGGATCGGCTTCTTGCTCATGAGGTATATGTTACAAAAATTAATTCGGCTTATGATCCAGCACTTGTTGTAGCCAACAATGTTCGAAAGAACTCTTATTCTTCTCGGCCGCAATCATCATCTGCCTCTCGTGCAGATACTGGGTATTCAGGAAACTCAAGCTCTCGGTCTCAGCCAATGCGCAGAAGTAATGGAGGGTCTAAAATTCAATGTCAGATTTGTGATAAGCCGGGTCACAATGCCAAGCAGTGTTACGGTGCCAAGGACTTCTTCAAAAATAATTTTCCTAGACCACCACCACGAGCTAATCATGTAGCAGCTTCTGATTCTTCGAGCTGGGTGTTGGACACTGGAGCTACGAATCATGTTACTCATGATTTATAGAATTTATCTTTGCATGTTCCATATGACGGTTTAGATGAGCTTCACCTTACCGATGGTTCAGGTTTACGCATAACTCATGTTGGCTCTCGGGTTCTTTCCTTTCCCTCAAAAAGTTGTTCTTTACAGAATGTTTATTGCGTTCCTAGGCCTAAGGAAAACCTTATTTCTGTTTCTGAATTCTGTTTATCTAACAATGTCTCTATTGAGTTTTTCTTTGATTGTTTTATTGTCAAATTGTCAAGGATCTCAACACGGGGGAGATCATCACAAGGGGGCAAATTAAGAATTCCTTGTATCGTTTGTCTTCGTTATCAAGTGATCGTTCGTCTTCAATTGCTGCCAATGTTTGTGTTCGTGATTCGCCGTTGCTCTGGCATCAGCAATTAGGCCATCCTGCTGCTAAAGTGTGTCGTCAAATTCTGTCTTCATTTCATTTGTCTAAATTTTCTGCTGTTTCTATTGATTGCAATTCATGTCGGTGTAATAAGAGTCATAGACTCGCATTTAGAACTTCTACTCTTTCTAGTTCTCGTTCTTTGGAACTATTATATTCGGATTTGTGGGGACCTGCCCCAGTTGAATCTATTGATGGTTTCAAGTACTATTTGATAATTGTTGATCATTATACTAAGTATGTTTGGTTCTATCCTACTCGTACTAAATCTGATGTTGCTCTGATTTTTCCAGCGTTTCAGAAATTAGTTGAAATTTTTTCCAGCGTTTCAGAAATTAGTTGGAAAAATATGTTTCAAACCAATAGGTTCTGTGTATACTGATGGTGTGGTGAATTCCTTTGCTCTCAAAAGCAATTTTTCCGAGACAAATGAATTCACACTTACCAACACCTCCTCATACGCCACAAGCAACAATGGTGTGCAGAGCGTCGCATCGTCAATTTGGGTAGAAACCAGGTCCCTAACTCTTTCTTAATCTGCTTCTCTACACCTTAAATTTGGTCGTATGCGTTTTTAGCAGCAACAGTATTTGATTAACGTTGCCTACACCTATTTTACAAATGACCTCCTCCTTTTTTAAACTTTTTAAAGATCCAAATTATACTAAGTTAAAAGTATTTGGATGCCTCTGCTATCCCTTTCTTAAGCCTTATAATAAAAATAAATTCGAACAAAAGTCAAAGCCTTGTATTTTTATAGGATACTCATTAAACCAGAGTGCTTATTTATGTATGGAACCCACCACAAGTCGAGTTTAAGTATCTCGGCATGTTTATTTTGTTCAGAATAAGTTTCCTGGGCAACATTATTTTCGTGATCTTTGTGAAGTTACTGGTGCTTGGTATAATATTCATTCTGCGCCTTTATCTGAAACGGTGCCGTTTTTGTCCAATAATAAACATCATTCACAATCTGATATTGGGTCATTGTCGGGTATGGGTATTCATGATTCTAGGGATCCTAGTTCTACTCTACCGATTGCATCATCTGTTCCTCTAACTAGTTCCATGTCTACTTCATCGTTAAATTCCGATTCGTCTGTTACTAGTTTCGCTTCTTCTCAAACGGTTTCTGCAAGTCCAACTTCTAGTTCTGCGTCATCCATGGAAGAGTCTTCTGTTCCGTCTTCTTTGTCGTCGTCTATGTCTGGTGAGTCTCTAAATTCTTATGTTGCGTCTTCGATTGAGTCTGAGTCTTCTGATTCGTCTTCTGCAGTTCCTGTTCGCACTCACCCTATGGTTACACGATCTCAAAATAAT